TTATGCCGATATATGTTTTATTTCTGGGTTCTGGAATGGAAATGCGGCTCAAAAAGAGTATCGGCAATGTTTCCCGGATAGAGGGCAACCTTCTGCAAGATTGTTTGAGAAAATTCATGTAATAACGAATAAATAAGGAGCCCTAACTTCAAGATATGTGAATTTGGCCGTCCAATGAGACGTAGGCATGATTTAGACGAAGTAATTTAAGGATTTTTTTAACGTAATCCTATTGCGAGTGTAAGAGCATCTACTCATGATGGTTCGTGGTTGTAAAAAAATCGAATGAAATGCAAAGTCAAGCACAAAGATTACAACTAACAATAAGAAGATAAAGATACGTGGGAATTTAAATGATAGCATGCGAAAGTGACAATAATTAGTATTATTACAATGAAACTGTCACCATGAAAAGTGCCTACTATGCGAAAATGATAAAAAAGTCACTGTTCTGAGCCATACATTATCTAAAAAATAATTATTTCTGACTAAACTACGCAGAATTCGAAAGAAAAGTATAGACAATTTTTCTCCAAAAAATAATATTATTAGCCTGATAATTGAAAGGAATAAAAAAAATCGAAAAATTTCTATTAAGGGTAGTTAGAGAACTATCCTTATTTATAACCGAATTTAATGAAACTTACGATAGTTAAAGATTCTTAGGGTATAATTATTATCTACAATTTTCATTTCATTATCTTAATCAGAAAGAAAGTGATTTTAAAAAAATATCCAAATGCTCTCTAAGACCACTTTGGAGAGCCATATTTCAGTATCAGTGCCCCGGAGGACCAGTGTTTATACGAACTTATTTACTATTTTTAGCTCTACTTTCACCTTCTTAAATTTTGTACCAATTTTTGCAAGCACCCGGTATATGTAGTGAATTTTAAAAATGTACATATATTTTAAATAGTGGTACAGTTCATTATGTAGAAAACGTCATTAGCAGTTTTATGAAAGAAACAGAGGGGGAGAAAAAACTAAATATAAAATAAATATGAATAGTTTTTTCCACAGAAAACTTATTGATAACCACTAACTTTACTTTTGTATTATTAACTAGTATTATATTATGTCTAAGTCACTACATTCTGAACACAACTATAAGAGCACAAGGAAAGGACAAGCTTTTGCAATAAATATACAAAGAATCTACAAATAAAATTTGTATTCACAAAATTAAAAGTGAAAGAAGTAAACATAAAATTTGTAGTAAATAAAGAAAAAATAGGTCAATCAATTATGAAAAATATACGAAGTCTGTTCAGAAACTATCCGAACTTTATTTCTCTAAAACTTATTAATTTTATACATTATCGGTCTTTGTCTCTATCAAAGTACTTTCCTCCCCTATTCACGTACTTTTCTCAGTGGTGCTTCCATTTCGCGTAGTAGTCCTGGATAACTTCATTTGAAATGACCTTGAAAGTCTATGATGAATTTACTTTGATTCATCAGTAGTCTGAAAACGGCCTACTTTCAGAATTGATTGAAATTACAACACTAAGGAGGTTTATCTGATTTGGAATTGACGAACAAATATTCATAAAAAAAATTAATATAAGCTTATTAATATGCAGAAAGTCCTCAAAAAAAATTATGACTAGTTTGGATACATAAGAGACGAGATATTAATAAAATAATTTTTCACGATTTAGTATAGAGTCTTATGAGAATGCAGATTTTTTTGGTCTTTCCACTTAGAATGCGCAACAATTGACGAACAGTTTCCACAGCAACTTGTATAAATAGGAAACCGATGTCTAAGGAACTGTATGACAGCTTGTAAAAATCGATTAGGTACTTGTAAGATACATAATTTATAATAATTCTCCTTCAAACTG